AAAAAAAAAAAAAAAAAAAAAAAAAAAAAAAAAAAAAAAAAAAAAAAAAAAAAAAGAAAGAAAGAAGAAGAAAGGCTAGCTGTATTCCCTGAATAGTTCTTTTTGGATAAACTATTTCTGCAATAATAAGACACACACAGTATTTTCAGTTTTAATGAGGTCAGATCTGGACAACTGCAGTAAATGTATTTACACCTGAATATCAGAGAACAGAATTGGACTTCTATATTTAATGTTATAATCATGTAAATACATGATGTCAAGATAGATAGATATTTATTTTGACAGTCATTTAGATTAATTTTAATGAATTCAGAGATCTGATCAAAAGATAACAGGATTCTTCTAAATCAGAAACACAGCAACTTGTCTTTATTTTGACAGAGGTGAAACACAAGTATTACATTTTTCCTGAAGTGCTAAATAATTAAAAAAGAGAAAATAGAGGACAACTGCAAATAATGTAAAAAGGCGTGAAGGTTTGGTGGATCACAAAGTGAATAATGATCAAAAAAACCCATATTGCTGTAATGAAGTGTAATTCATTGGCAGAAACAAAAGACAAGGTAAGCAGTGTCTCCTGAAGTTCTCACAACAGCACTTTTCTCAGTTTGTAGCTTCATCTTTCAAGAAAGATGTAGATAAATTAGACCTGGTTTTAATTCAAGCTACCAGTACAGAAAAGGGGATTTATATTATATGCTAATTGAAAACAGCCCAGCTATCAGGACAGTTAAATGATGGACCTGTTTATCATTTGTAGGGAATCCACATCTCAACACATGTTTAAGTTAAATAAATAACCATTGGGGTGATCCTAATTCACATAAGGGAATAGACTGTATCCTCAGATCCATTTCAGCCTAACACATATATTTAATCAGTATAAAAATAATGCAGTTATTCAGATCGCTTATTGTCCAAGAATCCTTGTTGTAGAATCTCTTATTCCCTCTCTCCCCATCCCTATTACTTTTTCTTTCTTCCTCCTTCTCTCTTTTCCCCATCAGGTATCTCTCTTTC